ACCCGATTTTTCGATTTTGGACTATTTTAGTAGAGCAACATCTGCTTTATCGATTGGAAATATGTTCAAGTGTCTAAAACATCTATAAAGTGCTCACATATGCCATGTTTGTGAACATTGAGTTAAAATAGACCAGTATGAATTCGGGGGTTTTTTCTTCCGTTTTCTCAAAATTATGATTTTCTTAGGGGGGGTGGGTCACCTATGCAGAGATATTCTTGAGAGTATATGCCACAGATCAATCCCACTTTGCATGACTGTTTCTAGATAATATGTTTGCAACATACTAAAATATTATGGTGATATTGTAATACATTTTCTGTCAGGGTAAAAAAAAGATTGACAGTATCATTCTATTTTGTGATCAATTTTTTGTCCTAGTATCGTGTGTGACACTAAAAGGGCAGTTACAAGAAAAGTATGAGACTAAGGAAAGCAAATCTTTAGTGCGTTGCAGGTTGTATGTACAGAAACAATGTGTGAAAATGGCAAGGCTGTATCAATTCAATCTGTATCAGAATCCCTCTGGTCTGTGGAACCCATTGCATCTAAAGAATTCAGAAAATTGACAGTGACATTATATAAGGATAGTGTGTTTCTTTTTCTTGACCCATATTGGTTATTGGGAATCCCTGTATACTTACTTTAGATCCAAAACCAAAATCTTCACTTCAGCTGCACCTAGAAACAGAACAAGTGCCCAAAAACTTTACCTTCGATTTACTCAAACAACATTTTTCGGGATAGCCCCCCTTGTGCTTAAAAGCAACCATATGATTGTCTCCTCCTTTCGATCGTTTACTTGAACTCCCTTTTTTCCTATTTACTTCTTTAATTTTGGAGAGCATGATTTTGTTACCTTTGCTTTGATTCTGTTATATTTCTGAAGATAATCATATAATTAAATTTACCCATGTTTCTTTTGCTTCGATACATCTTTTTTTTTATTTCCACATGTAAAGAGTAGTACTTTTTCCACATTTGAAATATTACTACGTCCTGGTCACTCATTAAAAAAAATCTTTCTCATCTTTTGGGGGTATTCTCATTAAAGCTTACTTTAATGGACTCTTCATTTTCCCTCCATAATTAATTGTTCGATTTTCATATTATAGTTAGGTTTCCGGTGCATGAAATTTATTACTTACACAAATTAATAAACGTTCTCCCAATTCTTGATTTGTCTTTAAAAACTGTTCTTGAAATTTGGGTTGATGTTTTGACTTTTTTTAAAGCTGACTTTTAAAAATATTATCGGCATCGTACACCTAATGGGTACATTGCCTCTATCATAATCTGGACCAAGCAATGATTTAGATGACCTTATGGTATTTCTGAAACGTTTCTGTACATAACTAAGTATGAAATCGATTCAGTTTCTAATTCAATCCCCATCTACGATGATTACTTCTAACCCCCCCAACTCTACAATCAGTTGATTGTCTTTTCTATTGAATAAGATATAACATTCCTACATCTCTCTCGTGTGTTCTTCCTTGTGAATGTACTGTTGTTTTATTACCTCTTTTGACAGAGCAAGAGTTTGTTTGTTTGTTTGTTTGATGCCGATAATATTTTTAAAAGTCAGCTTTAAAAAAAGTCAAAACATTAACCCAAATTTCAAGAACAGTTTTTAAAGACAAATCAAGAATTGGGAGAACGTTTATTAATTTGTGTAAGTAATAAATTTCATGCACCGGAAACCTAAGTCGTTTCTGTTTTTAAATTAATAAGATGAATATTTGGATTAATTTTCTTTAGTCAGAACACAACGTCTCATGTTACTGTTGTATGTTGTACTGTATTGTAAAGCGTTCAGAGCCTGTGTACTTTATTCGGGGTTGAGCGCTATATAAATGTCATTTATTATTATTATTATTATTTGTTTGTTTGTTTGTTTGTCTGAGTAAAGAGAAGCATGGACGCAATAATGATTCTTTAGTGCTGGGGGAAAGTAAGAAAGGTAGACACAAACAACATGGGGGGTAGTGAAGAAGAAGGACCTACCAGTGGCACCCTCTGAAAGACTTAATATGGTTGCATTCAATTCATCCTGTCTAAAGAGCTAATAATACATTTTGCCTCACCCTGTCCATTTCCTGTATTATACTTTCGAGTTTCTCTTTTTTTTTGTTGCCGTTTTCAAAAAAGGTTTTAGTTGAGATGGTTTTTGGAGCCAGAAGTTAGAGGAGGATCAGGCTCCACCTGCCACCCACAAACATTCCCCAATACTGCGACGCTAACCTTTTAAAGTAATAGAGTCAGTGCTTCTCAAAGCTCCACAATAAATACATTTTATAAAGTTCCTTGAGAAGTAATTTCTTCCATTATATATTATTTCCTGACTGCTTATTTCCCTGAGACATTTACTAAAGCTCTCACACCGAGCGAAGCCTATTAACCTTCAGACACTGCAGTATGACTGGGCCTCACCACACCCCGGAGACATTTTCAACTGGCCTCGACCTCACAACTGTAGGACTAGTGGCTCTTCAACTGT